CTAAAAAAATAAAAGAGTAGTTTTCTTGGATTCGAACTCGGGTATTCGGCATGCGAACTACGATTGCTAACCACTGCGCCACAAGTGTGATCGAATATCATGCGGGCAAACACCAATTTAAAATTCATCAAGGTGTTGTGTTTCGTATTCAAGTCAGTCAGCTGGCTCTGAAAACTCTAACAATAGGCGGGACAACAGCTCACTTTAATATATTTCAGATGACGTAACGGTTTGTGCTGAGACTCTCACGCAGAAGGACTGGGTTTAATTCTTCAAACAGCTCCATTACTACTACTTATGCTGAAAAATCAATACACATTAATACCTGCCTTTAGAAATAACTTTCATAAAAGTGCGAACAAAATATAGAATTGGTGTAGAAGGACAAAAACCTTTTTTAATTTATTTTCTAAAAGTTCCGTTCAAGTTCCACCAGAGGCTGCTTAGAATGCTCTTCAATTATAGTACCGGAACTTTCAAGTTCTTATTACGACTCAAAAATGAGGCTGCTTAGAATTCTCTAGACCACCTTCAACCAAGCTGCTTAAGCCATAAATATCCTTTTATCAGAACTTTTGGTTACTTGGGTAGGTTCCAATTCTGCACGTTGTAGTTTCATGTTTACACCGATGTTGTTCATGTTTGTCAAATGAACGATTTGATCTGTCCAACGGGCGATCAGATCTGTCAAACGAGGTGAGACGCAAACCAAGTCCATACAAATGTATCGTGTGTTCGTGTCCTTGCTCATGATATGTCGCGATCGGATGAGTAGATGGCGGTAGTGTTTAACGTATTTTTAATATGGCACCTTGGGCAAGATTTTGAAAGTAGCTTGTATGAGCTGTCACGTCGGTTCGTCGTACATATGATCATGACATGGGGTTGAAAATGACGAAAACCGAGGGGGGCGACTCTATCTAAGATGCAGGACAATTTTTGCTTTGCTTTTGTGATATGCGCGCACGCTTAATAGATAGAGAGAAGATTGATGACAATTTTGAAGATTTCCTGCCAAAAGGTGCAAAGCGATATGAGTAGATGGATTTAGATGAAAGAGATGAAAAAAGATTTTTCGTAGATTGATTCGCTAGCGTGAAATATTTTGACCATCTACAATTGTGATTTGGATGTGTCGTACCCCTCGACGAAAACTGCAAATTGTAGTCGAAATACGTATCTCGCATGGATACAAAAATTAATGAAGGGAAATTAAATGGAAGATAACCTGTTTTTGCTGTTTTTTAAACCATTCCACTACCAACCCAATTTCATTACTTCAAACAATTTATTATTTTTTACCCGGTGGCTGCTACATATTTTGAATCAGAATAATGCAGAACATGTTTTGTAGGCGGAATATTTTTCAAACGTATTTTTATAATTTCTTCTTCGCATTTCAAGCTTATTGCTTATCACATATTAGCGTGCTCTAAACTAAGTGTTCTTAGTGCACAGTTATTAATTAAGCTTAAGGTGTCCGTTTTTACCTATTTTCCCCTACATTTTTTTGCTATTTGGCGTAGAATTGCTCAAAATGACTTGATTTCCGATGGTTTCATCATATGTTGGTACATGTGTACTTACTATTACATAAATTATTCACTTCACGATCATTGGCATGATGTTCACGCATTTAATTTCAAAGGCAAGGCTTTATCAAACATACCTAGCTACGAAATATACTTTACAGCACGGTTGTTAGTGCAATGCATTCGAATCAAATCCTGTATCCATTGTACAACACACAAGTACCTACAACGTTCGAATTGGTTGTAGGAAGCCGCAATTACACTTTACCGGAGCCCGCACATCAGTAAAGATGACGAGAAACGCTCTCAAAACATAGGCAAATTCCTACGCAGGTAATTTTCCATTATTATCGTTTAAGCAGCTCTTAATAAGGTGATTAATAATAGGCAAACACGAAACAAAATGCCGAACGTTTGGTATCGGGCTTGCATTTCGGTCCGATCGCTGTGTTGTGTATATGTAAGTATATCCGTGTTCATCGGATGACCAGCATCCAGCCAACAAGTTGCTGGTGAAGCAGTGCAGTAAGCTGCGTGTTGAGCAAAACCTATCATCGCCAGGTTCTCTCCATTCATGTAGGTATTTTTCAAAAAAGAACACCGACTGCTTCATTCATATTGCCTGCAACAGGAAACCAAAGAAAGGAACGAACTCACACATCGAATCCGATGATGGATGACCGGGATGCAACATTTATCTACTTCTAAACATGCTGTCGAAAGCCGAAAGGTTCAATCAAAACGAACGAGCACGGTAGGTAAGCTGTTGACGGTTTTAGTGAAATGAAAATTATGAAACTTCATGAATTTTCCAAACTCCCATCGCGAAACGAGTCTTCTGAGCCCGATGTCAATTATACATAATTGACATCGTTCTGAGCCTAACTCATTCATGGCGGTTAGCTCCAACTCGGATTAAACTTTATCACCGTCCCTGTTTGAATGGTCTGCAACATGTTTGTTTAGAGTCGTGTCGATTAACTCTGATGTCGACATCAAAGCAGCCGAATATTCTTGTTCGGAATTTAATCAGAGGATACTACCGGTAAGAGCTTACCACCATCAATGTTATATGACATTTCTAGATATATCTGGAATAAGGACGAATGTCGCAAATGTAATAAACTGAGGTTATTACATCACGTTATACTACTATTCAAATTCTACAAAACGATATTAAAATGTTTTGGAAAAATAAGGTAAATCCTTCAAAAAACGTAAAAAACCTAAGGGCGAAACCAATATTTTTGTGTAGAAATTGAGTTGTCTGTTACGCCCGCTTACTCCCGTATACATAGATGGGGCGAAACAGACATATCTGGATCAACAATAGAAAAGGGCCCATCAGCATTTGTAAACAAACCGTTCTAAAGCCCTTCCCTCACAAAGCGAAGGCCACCCACGAAAACCAACACTATCATTGGATAGGGGAAAGTTTCCCCTACACGATGATGGTGTTCGTTTGCGTGGGCGGCCTTTGCTTTATGCGGAAAGGGCTTTCGAACGGTTTGCTTACAAACGCTGATGGGCCCTTTTCTATTGTTGATCCAGATATTTTCTCAACACAAGGCGAAAGATATATTTTGAAATTTTTCACTATTCCTTGCAATTACCGGTTGGTAATCAAAAGGAAACAATGTTAACCTGATCGAAACCCTAACAACACATGAATCTGGAATTCAACGAACTGCAAAAGGTCGATAGTAACGAACCGTCATGAAAACGAACGTAAACGTTGGACGAAACAGACAATGTCAAAAACAATCGGGTGAAACATAGGAGTGAAACAGCTTCTGTGAACGCAGCCGGGCGAATGACATCGGAGCGATCTCGGGGGCAATGCAAGATGCTAGAAATCAATGCATGAAACATTCTAATTTTTTTTAGTAATAAACAAAAATAATAATATTTTTATTTATCTCACAATAATACTAACCAATCATTCAATAATTCAAAATATTTTAATTTTTGAAATGGGTTTTTAGATTATGTTATGTTTGATTATTCTAGTTCAAAATTGCAGATTCATTTTTCTCAGTTCAAGCCCATTGCGACATTAACCCTTATTCCTGCTCTAGAATTTCTGTGTTACAATTTTTTGAAAAGTTACGAAGACGCCATTTTGAAAATTTTACATGATTCAAAATGGCTGAATTACACCAAAAATGCAAATACAAATCAAAGACGGTCGATTTTTTTTTTCCTTTGGTTTGTTTTTTCCGTCGATCTTGTTTTCCGTGCTTAGCACCAATGCTACCGACGTGCCAGGAAGGCAGCTCCCACACCTGGACCCTACCTATCGACCCATCAACTCATGAACCGGGGACCAACGGCTTTATTTCCCATCCGGAAGGCGAAGGCGTGATCAGAGATGTTATGCCTTGTAGGGTTCTACCTTAGCGTAATGTGGGTTGTCCCTAGGAAAAACGGTATTCAACTGATGAGCGGTGAGATTGGCAACCCTGGAGGGGAGTGGAGTGACAGGGAGCAGTAGAGAAAGGGTTGGTGAAAAACGAGGAGATAAAAACCGTGCGGAATAAAGGAGCAATGAAAGTTAATTGAAATCGGAGTTTTATTTGGGAATTTTGGAAGCACTACAACTTGGCGACGAGGATCGGATAAAGGTACGTAATGTTACTATGTAGTGAAAATGGGATGAAAATACCAAATTTTGTTGAAATGGCAGTAAGATAAATGTGTGTGAAAAGCGGTTGCACTAAGAGGTTATGTTTTGTATTGATTGGGCGAAAGAAATGTTTTTTTGACTTGGAGGTGGATATCTACCGGGAGGTAGAGGTGCTTGTTGGGAGACAAAGATCTTTTCTGCCGGGAGGTAGAATGTGGTCGGGAGACGGAAATGTATCTGCCGGGAGGTAGAGTGTTGGTCGGAAAAAAAAATCTGACGAAGGTAGAATGTTGTCGGGAGACGAAAATTTATCTGCCGGGAGGTAGAGTGTTCGTCGGGAGACGAAAGTTTTCTACCAGGAGGTAGAAGTGATGGTCGGGAGACAAAAGATTTTTCTGGTGGGAGGTTGAAATCTACTGGGAAGTAAAAGTGTCGGGAGACAGAAGTGTGTCTGCCGGGAGGTGGAAGTGTACTTTACCAGGAGATGTAGTACAACTGTTCGTCGGGAGACAAATGTTTGAACCGAAAGTTAGAAGTAATTATTGAGGAGTGGAAAAGTGTCACTCGGGGCTAAAATAGAACGAGTAACTGGTTAAAACTTGGTACCTAAATTGTGTGATTGAAACAAAATCAAATAGGTTGATTTGCTGTTACGAAGTAATCACTGATGGAAAATTTACATGTATTTGCAGATGGAATCTGATATGCGTCCTATACCACCGTTCTTGTGCGAACAAATAGAGCGTACTAAGTTAGCCAGGGAGTGGAAGGCATGGAAAGGAACACTTGAATGTTATTTTGAAGCTCATGAAATAACAGATCAAAGGATAAAAAGAGCTAAAATGTTGTATCTTGGAGGCACACAACTTCAGCGTGTGTTCTCGAATCTTCCAGATACCGAGAAGTTTGCGTTTGTGGCTCTAGAGAAGAAGTGGTACGATGTGGCGCTGGAAAGATTGGACGATTTTTTTCAGCCCATGCGGCAGGATACATTGGAACGACATCGTCTGCGTGAAATGAAACAAATGAAGGATGAGCGATTTGCACAATACGTGTTGCGGTTGAGGCAACAGGCTGCTGATTGCGGATTTGATAAGCATCACCCGGAAGTTTCAAAAGTCTTGATGGAGATAACACTGATCGACGTGATTGCAGAAGGGTGTACTTCCAACGAGCTACGACGCAGGATTCTCAAAGAGGATCAAACGCTACAGGAAATTGAGGCCCTGGGAGCAATGTTCGAGGGGGTAGAAGAACAGTTGAGAAATTTAACAAACACTCAGCAACCGGAGAATAAAACCTACCAAGTTACACAGAATCCTCGACAGAATCTAAAGACGGACAGTAGATATTCAGGGCGTGATCGAATCTCTTGTTTCAACTGTGGCATGACTGGACATTTTTCCAGTTCTCCGCAATGTCCAGCACGGAACCAGGAATGCAGAAACTGCAAACGAAAGGGCCACTTCAAGTCAGTTTGTCGAAAAGCTAAGACACGTTCCGTTTTTCAGCCGCCAGCAAAGAAGGTGCGAGTGGTGGAGGCACTGGAAGAATTGTCATCAAACATTGGGAAGTCGTCTGAAGCAAAAGCCTACTATGCTTTTTATTCGGGCAATAAACAAAACGTTATCCGTTGTTGCGTTGGAAAGATCGAATGGCAGTTTTTAGTGGACTCAGGTGCTGATTGTAACTTGATCACACCGATTGCGTGGAAAAAGATGAAGGAAGAAAACATTCAAGTACATTCATCGAATAAGCGAAGTGGCCGTATTCTGAAAGCGTACGGAAGCGAAAACCCATTGAAGATTCTAGGCAGTTTTATAGCTGACATACAGGTTGGTCAAAAGCGCACTACAGCCGAGTTTTTTGTTGTTGACGGCGGTCAGCAGTGTCTCCTAGGAGACCTGACATCGAAGCAACTAGGGGTGCTTAAAGTGGGGCTAGATGTACACAATATCGCGGAACAAACACAACCATTTGCTAAAATCTCGGAGGTACAGGTTATGATACATATGGATCCTAATGTGAAGCCTGTTTTCCAACCGCTGAGAAAAGTGCCAATTCCACTCGAGAGCGCAGTGAACCAGAAGCTCGAACAGCTTCTTGCCCGGGATATCATTGAGGCGAAAACTGGACCGACCACATGGGTATCACCGCTAGTTGTTGTTGGGAAGTCGAACGGAGAGCCTAGATTATGCCTGGATTTACGAAGAGTCAATGAAGCAGTTTTACGGGAGCGACATCCAATGCCGGTGGTAGAGGAGTATTTGGCACGCCTAGGGAAGAATATGATTCGAAGCAAATTAGACATACGTGAAGCATTTCTTCAAGTAGAACTGGCTCCAGAATCTCGCGACGTGACAACTTTCATCACAAGCAAAGGCCTGTTCCGATTCAAGCGTCTGCCTTTCGGATTAGCGACGGCTCCGGAGGCATTTCAAAGAACAATGGATGAAATATTAACCGGTTGTGATGGAACACACTGGTACTTGGATGATGTTATCGTAGAAGGCGGTACGCTGACTGAACATGACGAAAGATTAAACAAGGTAATTTGATTTTGTACTTCCCGATATACTTAAACTAATAATAAATATTCGATCAATAAAATTGACATCATAACTGTACACCTGATTATACATACAAATTCTTTATTTATGTTAGGTTCTTCAACGTTTCAAAGAACGTGGAGTGGAGCTTAATTGGGAGAAATGTGTGTTTAAGGTCAAAGAGTTAGAGTTTCTTGGACATATTATTACTTCCAATGGAATCTGTCCTGTAAAAACTAAATCAGACGCGATCCTATCGTTTCGGCAACCGCGAAATGAAGCTGAAGTTCGGAGCTTCTTGGGGCTTGCTAACTATATGAACAAATTTATTTATGATCTAGCCACTATTGATGAACCGCTTCGTCGGCTGACTCAGAAGGGTGTTCATTTTGAGTGGAACGATGAACATGCAAAAGCATTTGAAGCGATCAAACGAGCCATGAACAAAGCCGGGAAGCTTGGATTTTATGATGTTAACGATCGAACGGTGGTTGTAACTGATGCCAGTCCTGTCGGATTGGGGGCAATTTTGGCGCAATATGACCAAAATAAACAATTACGAGTAGTCAGTTATGCATCAAAATCACTCACTGATACAGAGACAAGATATTGTTAGACGGAGAAAGAAGCACTTTCACTTGTTTGGGCAGTGGAAAGGTTTCAATTTTATTTGATCGGAAGACCTTTCGAATTAGTCACTGACTGCAAAGCATTGCAATACCTATTTACTCCTCGATCACGTCCTTGCGCCCGCATTGAGCGATGGGTCCTGCGTTTACAGGCATTTGAATATACTGTAAAGCACATTGCGGGGGAGAAAAATGCCGCTGATGCGTTATCGCGTCTGGCAACCGGAAATTCAGAACCTTTCGACGTAAACGAAGAGTTGATCATTAGAGAAGTAGCAACATCGGCTGCAAATGCCATAGCTTTAAGGTGGCAAGATATTGAGAGCGTAAGTTTGCAAGACGAGGAAATTCAGACGATATTAGAATTGCTTAAATCGGGATTAACAATGGAGCTTCCCATTCCATACCGTGTCATCGCAAATGAACTCTGTGCTGTAGGAGAGGTGTTGTTGCGCGTAGATCGTATAGTTATACCGAAAAGCCTACGAGAAACAGTCCTAAAATTAGCTCATGAGGGTCATCCTGGCAGCAGGATGATGAAAGCGCACTTGCGCACTAACGTGTGGTGGCCGAAGTTAGATCAGGATGTGGACAGATTTGTAAAGTGCTGTCGAGGATGTTCTTTAGTGTCAGCCCCAGAAGCGCCGGAGCCAATGGAACGTAGAGAAATGCCGTTGCGACCGTGGGAAGATGTGGCTGTAGACTACCTAGGCCCATTACCTGAAGGTCAGCATCTATTGGTGGTCGTGGACTATTATAGTCGATATTTAGAGGTGCGAGAGATGATGTTGACAAACGCAAAGGCTACAATTCAGGAATTAAGTGCTATTTTTGCTTTGTTTGGGCTACCAGTAACACTCAGAGCGGACAATGGACCACAGTTTAGCGGAGAATGCGATGAGTTCAAATCTTTTTGTCGAGATAATGGAATCCGACTTGTCAATACGATTCCCTATTGGCCACAACAGAATGGCGAGGTAGAAAGGCAGAACAGATCAATCCTTAAGCGTCTTAGAATAGCACAAGAACTAGGACACGACTGGAGAAATGCACTTAGTCAGTATTTGCTGGTGTATCACTCCACAAATCATTCCACGACTGGGAAAGCGCCTTCTGAATTGATGTTTGGTCGGCGAATTCGTAATAAATTACCATCAGTTCCATTTTCACGACAAGATGACGAAGAAGTGCGTGATAAGGATAAACTACAGAAGGAAAAAGGGAAGGAATATTCCGATGCTAAACGAAAGGCTCATCCTAGCGAGATAGCAGTGGGAGATCGTGTGCTGGTAAAACGAATGAAGAAGACAAATAAATTAGATGCAGATTTCCTGAATGAGGACTTCATTGTAAAGCGCAGAGAAGGAGCAGATTGTACAGTACAATCGAAGCTGTCTGGGAAGGAATATCGCCGGAATGTCGCACATTTGAAGCGACTGCAACATGATGATGAACCAGACTTGGTGTTTGGCGATAAGGAGCAAGGTGTAGAGGAGACAGACAATGGAGTGGATCCGGAATCGGTGCAACCCTTGGAGATGCCTCATATACAACTGTAGGGTCACGTAAAAGAACGTGTCGAGAACCACGACATTTCGAGGATTACGTGCCATTTTAATCAAATAAGGTAAGGGGGGGTTGTAGGGTTCTACCTTAGCGTAATGTGGGTTGTCCCTAGGAAAAACGGTATTCAACTGATGAGCGGTGAGATTGGCAACCCTGGAGGGGAGTGGAGTGACAGGGAGCAGTAGAGAAAGGGTTGGTGAAAAACGAGGAGATAAAAACCGTGCGGAATAAAGGAGCAATGAAAGTTAATTGAAATCGGAGTTTTATTTGGGAATTTTGGAAGCACTACATGCCTCAGAACATCCCGGCGGAGCCGACTGGTATTGAACCCAGGCCTGCTGGGGTGAGAGGTAATCACGCTTACCACTACACCACCGGCGCCGTTGAGACGGTCGATTTGGCGGGGAACCAAAAAAGAATGGTGAAACTACTTCCGACACTATATTCAACGTACATAACGAGAGTAAAATCGATTGTCGCTAGTGGGTTACTCCGGTTTTCAACTATACCGATAATATATATTTGCACTTCACGTACTTCGTAAAACAAAGTTTTTTTTTTGCAATAAACGAACTTACCAAACAATTCCTCGACAACCCAGCTGTAGGGTTAATTTTTGGAAAGAAATATCCATTTCTGATTTCATGCTTTCCCGAAACGACACACCGACAAACCGACATGAATGACCATAGAAATTACCAAGAAATATCTGCTCAAAGCACACTTCTGACATCTGTCTCCGTATTTGCAGAAAACGTTTATCCAAGCCACGAACACGCGTGCAAAATGTATGAGTTGGTTTGTGTCTGATCTATTTTTGACAAGTTATTTTTATGTAGATAAAAAAATATCTATGGTTGGATCGCTGCTCATTTGAATCGACCGTAATATATTTTCGAGCAAAAGTTAAGTTTATGTTTTATGTCGGTTTGCTGGTGGACACCATTTGATCCCTGTGAAAACAAATCATCTAGCAACCAAGGTAGACGATGCGCGCAACACTGTCATTGTTCAAAACTTCGCTTGACTTTAGATTTGGTCACGTTTGTTGTTATTCGAGGAAAATTACTCATTGTTATTATTTTTTTGGGGAACTGATTTAGAGTTGATAATCTATTTGAATCCAACGAATTTATCTTTCTTTTGCACTTGTTTTTAGGGACCTTTAAATACCTGAAAAGCTTCATCAAGTTAGCAATACTTCTCCAGTCACCACCAATAAAAATAACACATTTTTTGGATTGGCAGGTCTCGAGCTCGATTGGAATGACACTGACAGATAAATTGGAATTCCAAGCGGAACATGGTCGTCTCTTTGTATTTTCTAGTCTCTTTAGGCAGTGAACCAATTGCCGAGTTTAATTAAATTCGGGGTTAAAAGAGACACTTCGAAAGCAGGTTCGAAAGTTATTTTTCATGTTTGAAAATCAGATTTTCTATCAGAACTCAACCGGTTGTCATAATATAACTTCTTGTCTGTCAGAAACAACTACGCTCGGATAGCCGGGTTAATAAAAACAAATATCCATTTGTCAAATTTTAACCAAAAGTTACAAAAAATCCACTTAATGGTTCAGAGCCTTATAGCAGCCGGTTGAAACTAACGATTTTAAATTGGCTCACTACTTGACTACTTGGTCCCAAGCAAATCGATTAACGTACCTCATTCTAGTCGAAATTCTAGAACTACGCTATGTTTGTTTTGATTCGCTATGGAAGTTTGACAGATAAAATGAGGGGTTCGTGGATTTTCCTATGTTTCGATGGGTGCATCGAATAGCTTGGGACCGAAGATAGTACCAGAGCTGAGTCAAAAAGTTGAGCACATTTCTTCGCTATTACTGTCCGGAATGCGGCAATGAAAAAAAAGTCAACGACAATGTTGAATTTTTTGTCAGATAGCTTATACTAGTTTTGCGAAAACTGTCATTTTGGTAGACTGGAAGCTCAGGTTACTGATTATCAACAAATGCTCTGACATATTGTCTGTTTTACTGGATTTCGGCAATGTTTAAAATGCTTATTATGATTTCCAGCAAATATTTATTTTGCTAAACCCATGCAGCAAACTGTTTTTTTGAAACTCAAACCGAAATTTGGTGGCATTCGGGAAATTTGGATGTGGAGCAAATCCACACCAACTGAAGTATCGATTAAACTTTATCCTCTCTGGATACCATGAACCATGAATGCTTAGTCCATCATCGAGAGAAATGCGATAATGTTCAGAAATCAGAAATTATTGACAACCATACAAATGTTTTTGAAGCTGGAAATGTTTCAAGTGTTTGATTTTCACACGGAGGCACGACATTACGTTTTTCTCATAAATTGTACACTTTCCACATCGTCTTCGTGTTCACAGACAGTTAAACCTCTGCGTATATAGCGATTAGAAAATAAAGCACCAGATCGACAAGAGACGCGGAAAAGAAGAAAGCCAAAAGGCCGAAAAGTTCAAAGGGCTAAGCCGAAAAAAAATCTTGTCGGCTTAGAGCGAACAATATATTAGCAGCAAATAATGAACGAGAAACCAACACATTGACGGAAAAAATGAGGAAAGGTCAGAAACAAGGATGTCAGGGATGGAGAGAGAGAGAGAATAACTATTATGCTGTGGAGGGTCGTTAATGAGTTACAAACTATGAGCTTATATGTAAATGAAGGTTCCATTACCATGTCGACGTCGTCGGTAAATTGAGTGACGGTGCGTCCCACCCACAAGAAGATGATCTGCTAATGGATCGATGAAAGTGAAACGAGATTGAGAGGTTGATAAGACGAATAAAAAAACGTTGCGTAACTTTTTCGACTTGGACCGAAAATGGGAACGCACTTAGGGACCTTTTCGGGTTTGCTGAACTTCACGAGAAGTCTATCCTTTTCATCAAATTTATTTTCAATACAATTGAATGTATCAACATTGTTCATTCACGATCTTAATAAATATGATCTTTGTCAATTTTGTTTTCCAACTTTCTGCGACCAATCCGTTTTATGTCGTTTATTCTTCGTCAAATAACCATCGTTACATCCACATATTTAACAGAAGATAACATCTTTCTGGTTTCTGTTTCATCATTTATATCGTTTCCTGATGTATGTGTATTTTGAATGCCATTCAGAGCTGTAGCTCTCGTGAAGCAAGCGGAATCAAAAGAGTAGTCTAATGCTTTCTTATTAACTGTGTTGTTACTCGCAAATTGGAATGAGCGGGATCTTTCATCAATTAGACTAGTTATGATGAACCTACTGCTATTCCTGTTGAATTGTTTTAAAAGTACTTTTGACAATTTCGTCATTCTTCTCTATTTGTTAAATAGCTGCGCCCACTCCTTCTGGGTTCGGGTTCGATTATCACTTTGGCCAATTATTGAAACGTTCTGCTCGTATTATACATCTATGTCGGAGTGGGATCAATCTTCAATCATGTTCCGTTGTTCCGTTGTTGTCTTCTAGACCTACCGAAGGAATTCACCTGTTGATGTGGGTTTTCTAAAGTTTGATTTATAGAATTTTTTTCTCTCTGTTAACATGATTTTTTGTGTTTATTATGTGCATCTCTCTAGTTTCTGAAACACGTACTCGGTAACGATTTTTTTTTTATTTACGATCGTTAGTAAACACGATTATCTTAATTAGCTGATCATGGCATTTGTTTTTTTATTCTGTTCCTTACTTTTTCACCACTTAATTGCTTCCCGAGTGAATAATAGCGATTTGGAAATTCTCGTCTACAAAACCGGCTGCGATCTGCCTGGCTTAAAAAGTTGCGGCTGGGGCGTGAAGGAGAGGGAGAGATTCTGAAAAAGTCGTCAACTAAGCGTATGAGGATGATTTTAAGCTGTTTACTAGTGTGACGCCTCATTTACATAGAGATTGTGTGATGGTCATAATGGGTTTTGCTGGTAAAAGTTGGGAACCCATAACGATGGAGCCAAATTTGCCAGATGCCCTAGTTGGTATGTCTAAAATACTGATAAAATATGTACCAAACCAATATAATGGCTTGCTCGCACTAGAGGCCTTGTAACATATAAAAATTATCTACAAGAAACTTGTTATCAAGATAACTATGTAATATGTTACTCCTTAGTCTGAACATAGCAAACGATCAAATATATGATATTAACAATATATGATTTTCTCATTATAGGGCTTAGATCTAATTTTGGACCTACTAAGCACAACCCGCTCCTTGTCTTTATTTTTCAAGCGGATTTTCTCACAAAATATAATGTTTTTACTGCAAATGTCTTCTAAATTTACCTTTCCATATGTACTGCAAGATTTGATAAAAAGTAACAAATTGTTGAGATATTGTTTAAAATCTAACACTACTTCTTGACCCCAATCTCGGCCTAAGGGTTTTAAACTCGGCAATAATGCATTGAAGATAAAAATTGATTCGGTCGGAACGTTTCTTTTGTTTTTAAGAATAATGGGTGCAAACATTCATATCACACGTTCTTATTGACTTCGTTCGGTAGCTTTTGAACTAAAGTATCGTACCAAACGCACAATTGACTTGTTGAAGCCGAAATCGTGGGTTTATGTGATGTTTTCTGCTCGATAGGCTCAAAATGGGTGATTAGACCGAAGTAGTTCTCTACCCTACTACATAGGCAGCTTTTCTTGATGGGCTCGTGTTAGCTAAAAGTCGTGTCTCTGAGAAAACGAAAGAGTGGGCCACATTGTTAATATAATACATTTGCTATGATCATCTTTACTGACTATCTTGATGACATTTTTCTTGTTGATAATTATTACTGCGAATCTTAGGAAAAAATCGTGTCTGGCGGCTACCGTAGAGCAGCGTTGCCAGATTGTTTTCATGATTATCGGTATCAAATGATTAAAAAATCGGTATTTATCGGTATTCACTATTTCAATTAATTTTAATTTTTTTCAAACTTTTGGACTAAAATCAAAAGATGTAATTTCCATGTAAGTCGGAAGAAACTTTTGGAAAATATTTGAATAATTCTCTTAA